TCTGAAGCTCACCTTTAAATCAGCTATTGAATGAAATTAAAATATGTAAACCCTAGCTGAATAAAATTCAGTTTGCTAAAGGACTGTGTATCAAAACACTTGCCGTGTTTTTGGGTTTTTCTTTTAATAAAATACTGCTTTCATCTTTTTTATCCTGTTTTCCATCTCAGTGCTGCATGTTAAAGGAGAAGTGTTTTGATGTTCACTCAACACGGCAAGTGTTTTGATTTTCACTCAACCTCATATAGTTTGAGCCGACGTGTGACAATGAAACGGTCACACGTCGGCTCAATACATCGGGAAGTGAGCGAACACATGCCGTCGCTCGCTCACTTCTCGATCATGTCCCTGCAGAGAGCTGTGACTGTCACTCACGGCTCCCTGCAGGGATTCCCCCCCTCCCCGCTCTGATCCTCCGGCGCTGACTGGCGGAATGAACGGGGGAGGGGTGGGTACAGCTGTCAATCACGCAGCTGGGTGGATCTCGACAGTAATGTCAGGATCTGTCCCAGCTGCGGCGGTCTCAGTATACCGCGAGCTGTAGCTTGCCGTATACTGAGCTTTTGGTCACAGGAGGACGCTAGTTTATGTCCTCCCGAGACCCTTAGGAGAACTATGGGAAAAAACTCTTACCCCATAGTTCTCCTTTAAAAATATGGAAAACATATTTTGAAAATACACTCACATGTTTAAGACTATATGGTATTTACGTTATTGGGCTTAGATCTACAATAACTGTAGTATAGCCAACACCAAGAGTAATAAGACTAATAAAAGGTCTCAGACTCAACAAGTCAAAACCAGCCCATTTCTAGGAGCTTGGATTGAAAAAGGCCTGTTGATCAGTCTGAGATCAGTTTTAGGTCATGTTAAGGTCAATCTGAGATCAGTATGGGATTACATTTGAAAAGCATTTGAGATGCATTTTTGTCAATTTGCATAGAGGAAAAAAAGCAAAGCATCGTAATGCATGGCAACAACAACAACAACAAGTATTTGTCTGGTTAAATATCTATTACTGTGACTATATTTAGACTTTCTTTTTTCAAAAAGCTGTTGCTGCAACTGCCTAAGTACCACCTAGCATTTTTATAATTTGGCTGACTTCCATTTCTTATTTGAGCAGCTCTCAGTTGTTAGCTTTTTATTCTCTGGAGTAATGCATGAAATTGTTAGGCTGTCCTTTACTCCCAGACATATATGAAGTGTCATATGACAGTCAAAGTCTTACACGGTGCCACTAACCTTATCAACACATCCAACACTCTGAATGATTTATTAAATGTGTCAGTAGTTTGGTGCAATGAATCTCTCTTTGATATTAACAGTTGTATCTTATATTTACTGTTTATTTCAATGTGCTATAAGTACTTGATTACTGCGGAGGTAAAGCTTGACCAAACAAAACTCTTATTTTTCTCTAGCTTTCATTCGACACACACTGTTTACAAAAGCAGAACTTGGAAACCAGTAAGTTAATTCTAGTAGCCAGCAGGAAGCCATGGAACACTCGTATGTGCCTCCACTGACAGAAATAGACAAAAATAACAACATTTAGATACTGGCTGTATTGTTTTAGGCAAATGGATTAACTTGAAATGACACCCTACTTTATTACTATTTATGTGAAATATCTGTGCCATCAGTATTTTGCATTGTGCAAATATGAACCAGTTCATCAAATATTTCCCTCTACTTATGTATTTATTGAAGTACTTTTTAATGATAATTTACCACACTGATTATAAAACAGACATTATCTCACAGAAAATATTTATTATTTCATAGACAGAATACACAATATTAAGGTGACCTGTTTATTTTAGCAAAATTACCATCTGGGTGATAGATTGAAATTCAAGAAAGTAAAATAGGGTTTGTATGCATGTCATCTAGAACACCCCTTATTGTCTCAACAGACACTTCTCCTTTCGGGTGTCTCTTTGTAGCCATATCCCATAGTGTTTCAAAGTGATCATCTGGAATATGTACACCTATGTTCCGTAGTATCTGTGCAATCTGGAAAAAAAGAAGAATATTTCAGACTGCTAGAGTTTTCATTTATTCTTAGTCTGTACTTGGGCTAAACTCAGGAGTCAAACTTTTCAAACTACAGATAACTTATTAACCTAGATGGAGAGACACCCTAACCAAAGCAATATATAGTAGTGGAGAGTAAAAAGTCTGCCTATTCTTAGAGTGATGGGACTTTTTTTAGGCATTGGGGCTAAAAGAGTACAGAATTTTCAAACTGCAGACTGACTGTTCACTTAGCTCAGTGTATAACGTTAAACTATGTTCACTTCCATTATCCAATGCTGTGCAAGCAATTTTTCCCCCTTGCATATAATTGGGTATTGAAAGCATACATGTAATGTTATTTAATAAATGTAATATACTTTGCTCTGTGAAGTTGTGAACATTCTCCTTTTGTAAATCAACTCCAATTTGTATATATGGAGCATGGAAAAAAAGTGCATGTCCTGTCTCCCAAAAAAAGGAAACCATAGAAATCCTGTCACATAGTTTTTTTAAATGCTGAAAAATCTGTGTATGTGATAACTTCATAAACTCAGAAGCATTATTGACCTCTACTTTTTAATCTTTCAAATTAAATATTAGCATTGTCCGAAGAGAACGTTACTTCTACAATATTTGTAATACCAGCATACTATGATCTACCAAAGAAAATCAAACTTTATTCCACATGCATCTATACAAAAAAACAACTTCTGACTAGTTTCCGCCTTACTCGGCCTTAGTCAGTTTTTTGAGCCTATCACTCCAGAAGAGAGTCATCAGTGCATGGAGTGTGGATTGCAAGGACGCATGAAAGGGGTGAGCTGTGCACTTTGTGTTTCTAGTCTAACTCTACAATATCATGACACAATAATACAATTTGATATACACTGTTACAACTAGTGTCCATACAAGTACTTCAGGTTTTGGTAGTGCAGCAAATTTTACCTTTGTGGGCCCCACATCTGACTTTCGTTTTTTCTCATATCAAGAGCAACAATGGTATTTACAATGTAGTAATCTTGATTTCAGAGTGGCCAATGAATCTTGACAGAGAAGCAAGCAATCAGGTCATATATTCCAAGCATGTGTTAACATTATTTTGACCAGCACGCTTGGATAGGTTTGGTTGACCTGACCTATACTTCTAAAAATGTGTTTCTTCCTTGCTTTGTACTTTACCTCTTCCTTTGGACGGGATTTAAAAATATCACGATCGTAGACCATTTTCTGTGTAAAGATGGATGGACAAAGGAGTCCAAAGGCATTAGATACATCTCCATAGTTGCTCCTGTCACTAATCCTACGAAACCGAGGAGCGGCAATATCTGTTCGAACAGTAGGAACACCATAGGTCCTAGAATCTGAATTAAAATATGAAAACCAAAATAGTCAACAATGTTACAATGTCAAAAGTGACCAATTTTATAACAGAGGTTTTATAAAAAGGGTGATCATATGAGACTGGCTAAACTGGACAATTATTATCTGATCTAACATTTTTAGAAAGATATTAGGTATGCAGGGACAGGTATTAAGTGAAATTATGATATTGAGATATGGCATAGTATTTCATGAACATTTAAAGCAAGTAGACAAGAAAACACTAAGGTCAGGACTAGACTATAAGGTAATAAACTATAAGGTAAGGCAAAAAGGAACGTAAATTCAGTTACAGTTGCCATGTATAATGGTAAAGAAAATACATTGCATCTTCCCAGTTGTGGCTGCATTAGGTTTCTTATTTCATTTTTTCCCCTTTATTTTCACCTAGTAATCCTGCTAGTAAACCACTTACTGTCCAAGGGTGACAACGCTTACTTACTGTACTGTATCTGCAGAGGAGAGGCATTGTCACCTTAGGACAGGATCTGGGTTAGGACTACAGAAGACCTCCCTATTCCGCATCTTCATAACATGGGGAAAGATGAAGTGAGCAGAACTGATAATAGTACTTGAGACAACACTACAGAGTGCACAGAACATTATCAGCTTACTGGATTTCTGACAGGAAGAACAGGTTTGTTTGTTTTTTTTGCACTTATCAAACAGATAATACAAAACACATTGAACAGTATCTTTAACAGACCAAAAGGGAGCACATAGGAGAAGTACATTGTTAGGGTTTACATACACTTTAAGAAGCAGAACCATACTTTCAATGTATCTGTTTAAGATTATTTGGCTGATTTACTAAAGAAGTTGGGAATCTTTACACAATAAGGCCCCTTTGACATGGACTGATCAGGAGGGGATGCGTGCACAGATCCCCTCCTGATTGGAGCAACACGGATCGGATGTCATAGAGGTGTCTTGTCATGTCTTGCGATGGAGGAAAAAACTTGAAATTACTGGACTCCGCGTCAATCTATGGGGAATCGGATGTGAAAGGACATGGGTCCGTTTACATCAGATTATCCCCTGATCCAGCACGATCTGGTCCAGCGAAAACAAATCTCGTATCCCTTTGTTTTTCCGGACCTGTCCAGAGTCAGAGTCAATCGGGTGTAAACGGACACCTGTTTACACCCTGCTAACCGTAGACTGGCATTGGGCATCCGATCAGGAAAACTTGAAAAACTGACAGGCGGACCCAATCTTACCACCCATGTGGCAGGGGCCTAAATTGGGTGAATGTTCAGATCAATTATCTAGTCGTGTGAAAAGCAAACTTCTGTTCACTTTGGATACCCAATCATGTGCAGAAGAAATAAGTATACAGGAATTTGCTTTATATACGATTAGATAATTAAAGTGAATTCTCAACTCCTTTAGTTAATAAGCCTCTATATATCTATTATTTTGATTTTGGCTGGAGAATCAAAAAGGACAATACTATTTTTTATCAGTTGTATTAGTAGATGATATAGAACTTACAAATAGAACTTGGAGCAGTTGTTGCAGCACCAATCCTAGAAGAGGATGTTTCATAAACGTCTGGCGTCCGTTGACCCTTCAACAAAGTTTTTGTTGTCTTTTCAGATCCCCCTTCTTCTTTCAAAACAATTTCTTCAGGTTTTAACAGGCATTCTAAAGGAAAAGCAGATTTTTCCGAAAATGTATCAGCTCAACTCATATAACACATGCGTATAAAATATGTATAGCCAAAAGCCAATTAATGTTGTTTTATACAATCAAACTTAAAGGACCATAGCAATATGCAAATTGCAACTATTTTCTAACTGGTGTATGTAATGGCTAAATTGGTTCTTTTAATATATTAGCATTAACTCAATATAGAATGCAGGATGTCGGACATAGAATTCCAGCATTTAAGAAAAACTAAGTGGTTTTAAAAGGTTTAGGAGGAAGTGTTCCCTGCGTTGTGTCCACACATGGTCATCCATACAATTACTGAGGATGTTAGAGGCGAATGGAGAGAAAATAAATGAGTGCTCAGAAATAAATGGCTCACATGTTATATGTGTATCTTAAACCAAAAACAAAAATGTAATATGTTGCAGCTTACCATTCCCTAGATGTGGTGGCTGCATACATTTTCTTTTTTTCAGGCTAAGAACATTTTCAGGAAGTACAGAACTACCTGTTGATCTTGGCAGAAATACAGAGTCCTTGTCACTTCCTGTGAGCTGAACGGAACAAAGTAATCACCCATCTGTAAACTACTAATCCCCCATGCAATGGAGATGAAAAAAGGAAGATATGCTTGAAGTTCAGTCTGGGTGACAACCATGGCTCCAGCCATACATACAGTGGAGGAGAGAGCTTAGCCACCCTATGACAGGGAGTGTGTTATCTTCAAGATCACTAGGTAAAAATAAAGAAATAAATGCAGCCACCATATCTAGGGGCTGCTAAGCCACAATATATTGTGGCAATGCCACGGAGTATGCTGGCAACATGGTCACCCAGGACCAAGTTCCCAGCATGAAAATAGTTCTGCAGGGAAGAAACTGGTCTTTCTGGATTGTAACTGGAATCTGGATCTCTGGAGATTTCTTAGAGTTTTGGGTGGGATGAAATCTCCAGTCCTGAGGTCAGGTGTTGCCAGTCATCAGGTGAGCAGCCTCATTAAGAGTCCTGAGCAGCGTTTAAAGGAGGAGTTGGTGTGGGCTGCCGGCACATGAGGGCTCCTGCTGGGAAGAGGGACATGTTGTGTGCAGGTTTCAGGCGGACTCTACCCAGAAGCCAGAGTGGAGCCAGGTGGTTGTGTGTGTGCTGGAGGCACCAGGGAATCAGCCAAGGAGGCTTAGTGAGCCTGTGACACTCAAGGGATGTGTGGAAGAGTCACATGGAGTATATGTGACAATCTTGAGTTGGTGATACATTGTTATATTGTCTACTTCCTGAAATATAAGCAGATTGCATGTTGTGTTGCTAAGAGAAATAAAAGACTGTCCTTTTTTGTTAAAACGGCTTCAAGACTGGCCCTTAAGCGCTCACAATATGTGCTAAGTTCCCCAAACATCACAATATTTAATTTTTGCTTGTGGGTTTAAAGCCCAAATCCAGACACAATAAGGTTACCAGAGAGTACAATAGGATGTACAGTGCCTTTTCTAAAAATCCACCTACCATATTCAGTCCTGGCTTCTTCTCCCCACAAATCATCAGCTATACATTTTAGTGGAAGTCCAGCTCCCACTAAAATCCCTGTCTGCTCTGGCTGTAGCGCTGCAGGTCTAATAGACCTCAGTACTGCTGTCACAACTCTGCCCTCCTCTCCTCCTAGCCAATCACAAAAAGGAGCCTGGGGCTGTCTTTGTCTTTGGCCAAGAGGAGAGGGGGATAGAGATGCAGCCAAAATACTGAGGTCCTGCAGTGCTACAGCCAGAGCAGGCATGGGAGTTCTGCAGGAGCTAAAGTTCCATCACATGCATAGATGAAGATCTATGGGGAGAAGAAGCCAGTGCTGAATATGTCAGGTGGGTTTTTAGAAAAGGTACTGTACATCTTAAAGTACTCCAATAAGATTATTGTGTCTGGAGTTGGACTTTAAATACTCATTAAAGGAGAACTATGAGCTGAGTGCTTTTCACTCACCTCATAGTTCTAGCCGACCTGTGACAATGAGACTGTCACAGGTCGGCTCAGTAGATACTAAAGGTTTGTGAACACTGTCTGGGAATTACCACCATAACAGGTAATGAACCTAAATGCAACAAAATACAAAGAAATTGCTGTGTGATACACTATATAGAATAAACACAGGAAAATGCTTAATATAGAGAGCAGGGAAGAGGGTTAAAATAGCTGGAAGCACTTAATGCAAGAGAATAGTTGGTAAAAATGTGCTGGGACAAGCATAAAAAGGACAGAAAATCTATGGAACAGATTGATGTGTCTTATGACAGTTGGAGGAATCACCTATCTGTGACTGTAACTCTGATATTCTTTTAGATTCTTTCAGATATATAGAAAAATATGGAGGTAAGCATGAGATGGAGAGAAGAAATACGTAATTCAAAGGTCAACGAAAATCATGGTTTTAAATACACCCTTCCTTACCTTGTGTTAGTATTTTTTCTTCCAGTTTTCCGATTGACATTTTATCTTTCCAGGTTAAAAAATTAGCAAACTCTACAAAGTTAATCAAACCATCCTTGTCTTCATCACAATATTCAACAAGGTAGTCCAGGACATTAGGGTCCAGATGTAGACCAAACGTCACACATGCATCTTTTAACTCTTCCTTATCAATTTTTCCATCACCATTCTAAGAACGAAATTTAACAGAACATATTTATCGGTTTATCACCCCTCTCCTCAATCAATCACAAAATAGAACAAGAAAAGAAAATAATGCATAAGCTTGTATGTGGAACAAAAAAAATATACAGACTGATACAGCATCTAATCATGACAGTACCCCCTATTCAGCTGGTAACTGCTGAACTAGAGGATAAAAGAAATGGGGGTAAAGCAGATTCCAGACATTGAACCTCCAGAACTGACTCAAATAAAAGTTTCCCATTATGTATAGCAGAGAACAGTTCCCTCTTCTGAGAAGTCAGTACCTGTGTGTGATCAGAGGGCTGGACATTGCTACTCGGGAGTAAGAACAACATGAATTAAACCTGACAAAAGTGACCCTATACCGTCTACCTGTTATTCATATTTATACAGCATCATTTATTGATTTTTCATATTTCTATAGTGCCAACATATTACACAGTACTTTTACAGAGTGCAACCATTTACACCAGCCCTTGCCGACAAGGGAGCTCAGTATGCAATGTCCCTATCATACCAGAGTTGATTTTGTAAAGAAGTCAATTAACCTGCCAGAATGTTTTTGGTAGAAAACTAAACCCACACACAGTAGGAATATTCATGGAGATAGCATCCTTGGTTGGTTTTGGAGCCAGAGATGCAAGGAGGCTACTTTGACTAAACACGTTGAGGAGGAGTTTACATGCTGACGTCATCACGTCTGACCTTGGGAAGTTTCCGCGTAGAGAGATGAACGATAGCATACGAAAAGGAACGGCTATCACTGACCAAAGAGTATGGCATGAAAAGTTGGGTTTTTCATATGCAGCGCTGCTTATCAAGTTTTAATGTGAGTGTTTAAAAAATTTATGATTAAAGATTTATAAGGATTTTACACTATGTAGCATCTATCTTTCCTCTATGGTATATGAGTGAGCTATTAGAGCTATCGCTATATGGATTAAGTAGCCATCGGCTGTCTGGAATGGGGGAGAATCTGGATCGTTAAGGATTATAGATTGAGTGCTTTTAGACCACCTTAACAGTGGTCTAAAGATTCCAGTGAGTGCAATATTGAATAGCGACATCTGGGATTAAGAGTGAGAAGCATCTGTTTGTTTGGGGTGGAGCACAAGATTCTCCATACACAGAATTGGGAGAATTTAAAAAAGGACATTTATTGTGATGTACAAAGAGTGACTTTTAGGGTGGTATATGTGAAGTACATCACATTGCACGGTGGATACACTGGTGGAACAACACTATTTCAATCTTACAATTGTATAATAATTTTATATTAACATTTTTGGATGTTTACTGGAGTATATGGGGTTTTTTTGGCAATGAAATGTGCCCTTCAGTGTTCTGACAAGCATTTTATGGTTTTAGGTATATGATTTAGGTTTAAATCATGTCAAGTAGAATGGGCAAAAACTTCAGAACCACAATTCTGGTACTTACCATCAAAAGACTTGCCGTGTATGAAGTACTTGGGAGGACTGAATAGTCATGCAATTAAGAAATCATCTTTTTTGCTTAATGTTTATGTTATCCCCCTGTCGCCACTATTGTATATTTTGGCTATGGAGCATTTAGTTAATGCCATCAGGATGAATGGAGATGTACAGGGTATACCTGTGGGAGATAGGACGCACAAATTGAGCTTGTTTGCTGATGATCTGCTCCTCTATATCTCTAATCCCCTTATTGGCTTTCTGTCACTCTTAAAAGAGATAAAGCTGTTTGTACGATTGAGCAACTATCGTACAAATGCATTAAAATCTGAATGGTTGGATGTGTCGCTCCCGCCACGTAAACGGGAGGTTATTGGGACTGGCTTCCCGTTTAGGTGGAGGGAGCAAAGCATTAAATATCTCGGAGTATATATGGCGGTACAAGAATCAGATGTTTTTGAATTAAACTACACACACCTATTGGTAGAGACGCAGCAGATTAAATAGTTGGATCAGAAAATGCACTTGTGAATAGGAAGGATGGAATTATTTAAAATGGATATTTTGCCAAGATGTATTCATCTAATTCAAACTTTCCCGATTAAAATTCCAAGATCTTATTTTAGGACCCTGAGGTCAGCTATGATAAAATAAGTTTGGGGATATACCCCGCGACGATTAAGATACAATATATTAGTAATGCATAAACAGGACGGTGGTGCAGGTCTCCCACACATGGAGCTTTACTACTGTGCAGCAGTGCTAACATGCATCACAGACTGGTTCTCTTTTACTAGAAATAAATTGTGGATATCTATTGAACAAGCAGCTACCCCTTTAACATTGACTGCAATCCCATGGATCCAGCCCCAGAAAAGGCTGATACGGGGCCTCTACCTCCATTAGTTAGGACACTAATACAAATTTGGGACAGGACAGTAAAGCTATATAATATATCAGACTATGTGGGACCTCTCATCTCTATATTAAGTAACCCGGATTTTCCACCAGGGTATAGCAGCCCACAATTTCTAAAATGGACTGCTATGGAACCAGCTCCTATTATTCAAGCAATTTCAGAGCATGGTATATATCCTTTATCTTTATTGTTCCCAGAAGGTGGTTCTCCACCTTCAGCTTAAACATCATATCACAACTCTCTCGAGATCTAAACCCCTTAGGCGAGATATGACTCCCTTTGAGAATTTGTGAATGAACTCTGAGAGACCGTTCTTTGTGAGGGGATGGGAAACAGAAATGAGCTATAGATTATCACAAGATGAATGGAAACGATCTTTTGTGTTAAGGTTTAAATCAAGGCTATCAAGTTACATCCAGGAACGTAATTTTAAGATATTGACAAGATGGTACAGATGTCCTACCTCAATACATAAGATCTTTCCAAACATATCTGACCGATGTCAAAGATGAGTAGAAAAAGTTACTATGCTACATATATGGTGGTACATATATGGTGGTCATGCCAAGAGATTTAACCTTTTTGGGAAATGGTTTATAAGATAGAGTACATCTTGTCATTGGCCAGGGATCTCTTACACCTGAGATTGCGCTATTGACTATTATACCAGGTCCAATTAAAGAAGTCAAGAAAGGCCTATTCCGATCTTTTTTTTTTTTGGCGCAAGAAGGGTAATAGCTAGATATTGGAGGTCTCAAGATACTCCGCAAATTAAAGATTGGGTCAAATAAATGAACTTCTTGAGAAGGGTAAAAGAGTTAGTAGCGCGATATATACAGGATATGTACCCACAATTTCTGGTGACATGGAACCCATGGATAGAATTTGATAGTGCTACTATGTGCGTATAGAGAACAAGAGGCATAGCCGTATGGTCACTGTGGGGGGAGAGGGGCAGCTAGTGGAAAGGAGAATGGGAGTTGTTGCTTTGTGTTTTTTTGTTCTTCGGTTTAGGATTGGGAGGATTTTAGGTTGCTTTTTTTTTTTTTTTTTTTTCTTTCTTTTGGCTTTGTTCTAGCTGAGACCCTTAAAGGGAATAATGGGTTTATTATTAGCAGAATATTATATGGTGGTCTCTTAACAATAATGTCTGTATGTTTATACTGTATATATATTGGAAAATAGTAAAGAGATATTTAAAAAAAAAAATGTTTAATGTTTATATTACATTGAAAAATAGTATGTACTATGTTACATATGATGTCTAAATCAAATTATAAAAATCCCAATTAAATATACTTTAGTTCTAGCTTGTAACACTAAAAACATCTAAGAAAGTGAATACTTATAAAAACGTTGTAACCTCAGTTAAGTTCTCCTTTGATTGACTGCATACATTTTAAAAAATGAAATAAAAAGGAGCTTGTATAATGACCTTTGCCCTAACCTCCTTAGAGTTACAGCAGTCGCCTTCCTTTTTTTATATCCTAGAGAGTCAACTGAATCTTTCCTAATTTTTATTAGCGGTCTATTATTATTTAATATTATTTTATCCTTTGTCCTGAATGTTTTAATCACACTGTTCATTGCTTTTTCAATAAATAATCTTAATAATGTATAATTGAAATCGGTGTTAAAAAATCAGTGATATTCTCTTAAGAATACAAGCAATGATGCATGCATTACAGTTACGGCAGCAGCCAACCTTGTCATAATGCCTAAAAGCTTCCAGCAATGAGCCAAAGTGATGATAGTTTGCTTTCTTCAAGTGTTGCTGAACAGCTGCCAGGATGGCTCTGTGCTTGTCCTTACTACGCAAGAAGTCTTTAGGTTCTCTATTGTGAATAATATCCCCCACTCCTGGTAGAAAAAAAAAATGTGTTTGTTTTATTTGTATTTATCAAGCACATATTTATTTTTCATTTAGTCATGCAGTAATTATTAAAGCCTATAAACAGTTTAAACACATTTGACAACTTTAGATGGTATAGCTTTATTAATCTGATTGCCACCCTACTAAGAAACATAAAATCAAAACGGAGCTATAATGGCATTGTATCAACTATTGAACAAATTGTGCTGAAAAAATATAAATTATAAACATATAATTTAGAAATACATATATTACCATATTTTTCAGGGCGAAGAAGAATACCAAAAGTATGATCAGCAGGAACATTCAAAGTATCTGCAATGCTAAGGAAAGTAAAGGAATTATTTTAATGAAATAAAAATTCCTATAAAATAGTACTAGTACCCTAGTTTGAGACAGAGTAAGCCTTTAAAATGCACAATAGGGGCATTGCATTTCACATGCATTACACCAGAATGAATTAACCAAGTCAGACTTGGCAAATCCAATTATCCTTTATGAGAGGCCAGGCCCATAAGAACTTGATAAGTATGCTTCTGTGCAGGGGTAGGGTGGGATTGGTCAGCTTAAAGGGATCAAAAGGAAAAGTGCACTTTTTTAAAATGCATTGTACCCCTGTGATAGACTACAAGCTCAGTTTACTAATTTGTATTGCAATTATAGTCTATCTCAGGAGTGAGCTTGGAGTGGTAGCTACTTTACAACACACACAGAGACCATGGGGAACAAAAGTAGCTACCCTCCAGAAGGAAAAACAGTGCCAGCACATATTCAGACATGAATAGTGAGTGATATACAAAAAAAGGTAAATTTTTGTTAATAGTTAGGATATTTTAATGCATTTTTAAGATTTAACTCCTGAGTTAAGTGCCACTTTTAAGACCATTGCATCCCTAATTCTATTTTTCCCATTGATTCCAATGTATTTAAAAAAATCTTTGATAATTTGACAAAATCTCCTGATTTTCGCCAATATTTAGGAAAATGAAAACTCATAGGGATTTTCACAAAGTTGCCGAGTGAATAAACCAGCCGAAGTCAAGTGAGCCGAACTACGTTCAACTATTCACTCCAACTCAGTACGGCTGATTTCAGCCATATATCGGCTGCCTTCGGTGCAGAGCATGTTCGGCTGGGCCAAAGTGCAGAGGGACTCGAAGCTCCGGCAGCTCACTGAAGCTCCAGCAGCCCCGCTTCGGCTGTCACTTTGGCTCAGTCGAGCCGAAGCATATGACTTCAGCTCGGCTGAGCCGCTCATCTGCCTTCGGCTGCTGTACGGGCTATTGTGAATAGACCGTACAGCAGCCCTTCGGTTCAACTGAACCAAAGGGCTCCGGCAGCCAAAGGATCAGCCGAAGCTATGGCTGTATCTTTCGGCTCAATAGTGAATAACCCCCTCAGTTTCACTCATCCCTACTTTAAACTGTTGGAATAATTTAAAACTATCATCACCTAATAAATAGAATTAAATATCAATACTGTGCAGTAGATTCCATCTTTTGAAACCTTCTAACATTTATTATTATACAAATGGGAGGTAAACAAAATATACCCATCATATTTCATATAGCATTTCATATCAAATAGGTTTAATTGTTTTTTGCTCTCCAGCCTATCCCACAATATGCAGCAATTTTGCCATGGAACAGTAAAGCATGTATAAATTGGACTTGAGGGGTATTTTCTTTTTCAACAAAGGTTCCACTCTAAAAAATATATAAAAGAGCTGATTACCTTGAGTGAGTACAATATGTTGAATTTTTAATGTTGCCCTTAAGTATAAACATATTGTAATTGCAGTTATAGTTTCACTTAATCTAGTTCTTCTGTAGTATGATGCGTAATGTTGCTGCTGATACAGTACTTACGGATCAAGAACTTTCCCAAGTTGATGTTGAGTACGCTCACGAAAATCATCCACCCTTTTAGAAACTATGTTAGCAGCTTCATTCCTAAAAAATAGATTCATTTCAATGTACTTGCATATTAAACATGTCTGTTTTAGAGACTGGATATAGATTATCATATTTAAAAGGAATGAAAGACTATATATAGTGTGTCAGTGTTCAGCCTATACAAATGTTTCTTTCAGATGAAAACTGAGTTTTGAGTGAAACCCTTTTAACATGTCAAATGACAAAAGCCAATGCTTTACACTGATTTTTAAAGCATCACAGAACAATGCTTTGTGGCCAGTATTATTTCAGTGGGTATGGTGAGTAGTCTTTGTTAATATGGAAAGCAAAGAAGTATTTCCACTGGAGTTCCAAATACAAATACAGATACTTTAAAGCCGAGCTCCAGGATAAGCAAATATTGCCTAAATACAAGAGACATGTGTGTTCTTAATTTATGCATGGTATACTTTTGTGTATTGCTTTAAGATCTGTGCAGTAAATCTGCATGAAACATTGTCTTCATGTAATAAAAACCAGTAACCGGTAATTTGACTGCGCACCACGCTGACTAATCTTCCTTACTTCAGTTTTAATGGGTCAAAAACCTTTCTTAAAACACTGTCCTCTGAACTTAGCCCAGACACAGGGGGTCTTCACTCACCCCCTACTTCACTACCCCAAGTCAAGCAAAAAAGACAGAGACTACCTTCCTTCAGCTGCCCCCAAATCATGAGTCACAGGAACATATAATCCCACCTCACCCAGGAAGTGGCATGGTGGAAGTGAGAACCACAGGCACAACATCGCTTCAGTGGACAAGTGCCAAGTGCAAGTCTCATGTCCCCCCACAGAGTCTACCACAGTATGTTCACTCATGGTCCCTTAGCAAGTTCCTGACTCCCTGACATACCCAGGAAAGGAAAGATTTTACAAAAAAAATTCTAGAAAAATAAACTATTTTAATGCAAAAATAATGCATACCACATGATTTCTTCTAGGCAAAAGTAAAATGCTAAGTTACATCCACATTTGTTTCAAACTTTACTGTAATTATCTTCTTTACACTTTTCTTGCTTTTAGTCTCTCCAAATAGAGCAGGAAACACAGTCCAGAGGGAAACACAGCTCTATGTAGTCTTGCTACCAGTACCTGCTACACCACTTTAACATGTTGTTAATCTACTTTTGCCATACTTAGTTCTAGGCTAGGTGGGGGTATAATAACAGTATGGTAAACTTGTTTAATCCAATCATGGATGTTTACTTATCAAGTGCCTACAGTAATTTCCTGGCATGTGGTAAGGCCTGGTTCACACCTGGGCGTTTTACAGCGCGTTCCTACGTGCTGTAAATCGCTCATCATGGGAAAACCAATAATTGCCTATGGGCATGGTTCCCACCTGGGCTTATTTCAGCGCGTAGGAACGCGCTGAAAAACGCCCTATGCCCAAAGAAGTGCAGGAGCTTCTTTGGGGCGTATTTTCCGCACATATCCATTGGGATACAGCCGGATAGCCCTCGGAAACGTGCGTTTCTTTTACCGCAAATCGCAGTAAAAACGTGCAACACGAAACGCGCATATTCCATACGGCCAGGTGTGAACCCAGCCTAAGTGTTTAGAAAGTGATTCTGCTTTCGGCTGCTGTACGGGCTATTGTGAATTGGGAGAAGATACAAGTTGTGAAACACTTTCTAATCACCTGAACAATTTACAGCTGACTGATTGGAAACTGCTCCAATTTTGGAGTTTTTAGGAAGCCGGAGCAGCTCACAAGAGTGACCACCTAAAAACAAGCCTCTTTACAAGCACTAATATGCGTACTGTCTTAATTTGCCATTAAAAGTTTTGCTGTGAGCAGTTAGCAAGCCTTGGCGCCAATCATTTACCTTAAAGCTACACCATCCATGTGCACTCAACCTTAATAATGGCTTGATAATTTGATGCCCGGGGATGGCTAAGTTATCTTTGTAGGAGCAGCAGCAAACTGATACAGCAGAAGTAGATATTAGGTAGAGCTCTGTTTCTTATATATCTATCATATTGGTAGGCTGAATCTCAGCACAAAGGCTTTACTAGCTGTGAAAGGTACATTTAAATCCTACAGTGTATTTTCTATTCACATGCAGGTTTTGCTGAACTCCAGACAGATAACAGATAACATACATATAAAATATATATTCTTTGAAGTAAATTGGGACTAATGTTCAGACTGTTTTTCTTTTATTATTTATTGCATTGTTGGGAATATTAACCTCCTATATAGGCGGAATAAAATATATGAGGGTCAATCAAAAAGTAATGCCGCCATGCCATGGATCTGCGGCTAAAACAACGAGCTGTAATTTAATTTGTGGCGAGGTCCATCGGCTAAAGAATGTTTATGGGGGGCTGTAGAGGAATTTCAGTTTCTCCTTCTTGAAACTTCTTTACCCAACACTGCACATTGCTAATGTCCACTACAGTGCCCCCCATAACCATAACATGAACATTTATAGTCATTCAAATAGATCTCAAATTACAGAAATGGAGGCATTTTTTTATTGACCCTCGTGCAATAGAGCTGTTTTACATGGCAAGGGTTTTGTATTTCTGTACATTCATTACTGAGATTTACACAGCCCTACCACATAACAACCAATCTGGTTAACTCTTGGTGATTTGTGCCAGCTTTGAGTCTTACTTACCTATTATTTTTTTCCCTGAAGAAAGGGGAGGTATTTGAGCCTTCTAAACGTATTCTCTCATCTGTGTTGCCATTGTGAACCAATGCTACTGTTAAAAAATGTGTGAACTCTCAGACTACTTGTTTGGCACTCTGAATAGATTTTATACCCAGCCTGTGATTGGACAATGAAAAAGCAATAAACCTATGAGGTAACCTCTTTGCTCACTCTGCTCTCTCCTCCTTTGAGCATGTTCCTTTTCAGCAAACTTACATGCAGCATACCTGATTGGCTTCCAGTGCTGCCCCTCCCTCTCATAAATTGTGCTGTACAGGGGATTGTAAGAGGCTGAAATCAAGTCAAATGTAGGTATTTACACTAGATGCATTCAAAAATAGATTTAGGTTTTTATGAATGCATACAAATCTGCATTAGTTTGTTTCCTGCCTTTTAAAGGCTGTATAACTAAAACCTGGGGAAATTAGGCAGTTGTGGACTGCCTGGGGAGATTAGGCAGTTGTGGACTGCCTTGCAAAATGTAAACAAAATATGTGTGTGAAAGAAGGAAGAGTACTTCTGCAGAGCACTGTCCTGAGGTTCCCCATGCTGCTCAACTGGGGGGCTCACAACAATGCTCACAAGTGGCATGCTACAAAATACTCCTTCTGCTTTCACACACATAATTATTTACCTACTGCAAAGCCGCTTACAGTCCTCTTTTAAATGTAATCAATAAACACATACAAATATACCTACGTTTTGATTTCTTGAAGCCATCTTACAGATTTTGCAACATTCCTGCCATCATTAAAATGAGGTGTTTCAATGCCAAATGTTCTGTCCTTTCTGAATTTTGTCCAGTCATATTTTCGGTCCTTTTTTTCACCTGAAAAGGTTGCAAGAAATCAAATCTGATCAAATGTTTTTCAAACGCACATTTTCAACTTACGTCGGTATGAAAGCCATACTCAAATACATGGAGCAGTGATCCTCCCTATGTATTAAACCAGCACGTTCTTGTAACTGAACTATAGCAACAGACAACAGTTTATTGTTTGGATTTTCCAGATTCTACATTCATACAAAATCCAAACCAATTTCCTTTTGCTAAGAACTCTTTGAAGTGAGATTTGACAACTTTAGTATCTCCATGTAATGACATATACATTCCTGCCAGAAATAGATAAAGGACACAGCTGTAAGATGTAATTCCTATGTGGCACAACACTAGAAATTCCACCACAAGTTTAAAAAGAAGTTGTACAATGTAATGAATACTGCGGTTATATGCTGTATACTCACAGTTGGTATACTTTTTTGTCCTGTAAAACTAGGGATGTTCAGATACCAAGTGCCGTACTCGGTACAAGTACAAGTACAGATACTTTTCCAGCTCCAAGACTATACTAGAGAAAAAGTTAAGAGGCAGCTGTCATTTTTAAGGAGCATACAGGGCTCATGGGATTTGTGCAGCCCTGTTTTAATGCGTGATTTTTTTAAAATAAATATATATTAGGGATGCACTGATACCATTTTTTTAAGTATAAGTACTGATACTTGTCCAAGTACCCACAGACACAACTAGTGATACATTTTTGTTTATTGTCATGTGACAATTTTTCTAAAATAATACAGACTAATGATCTCAGGACAGTGGTAGAGTGCCAGAGCCAGGTCCCAGCTGAGACTGCTGCAACTCTGGTAGTTGTCATGAAAATGCCAAGTATCAGCACTGGTATCTTAACATCCCTGGTTAAAACTTAGATTAAAAATGTAGAAAAAAAAAGTTTAAATGGAAGCTCAACTCTTTCTCATTTTGGATAGTGTTGAAAGATTGGAACTTCTGACAGATTTTAATTGCTGTGTCCCTTTTGTGGAGATTTCCTGTCCTTTCAGGAACGGTCTCCTGGACTGGAAGTGAGCAGAACCAACAGTTACCCAGGCAGCAATAAAGTCACTTTGTTAGAAGAGAGGGGAATTTAGGGGTTGCATTGCTTTGTGTACCACTTTTGGGGAGATGTTCCTTTAATTTTGCTAGAGTTGCTCAGGAAGTGAAGGAAAATCTCCCCAACCAGGACAGAGATAGCAAACAAGAATCATGTTCTAAACCTTCCTTATTTTTTTAAAAACTGAAAAATAACATGATCGAATGGAGTTGGCCTTTTAAAAAACATTATTTATATCTTATAACTTATCTTTACCTAACTTTTAGTGTGTGTGCTTTTTGAGACAAATAATTCTCACTGAACAATGCTCTTTTGATTCAGCATGCTTAAAAAGTATTGTGCTTAGCAAACTGGTTTTCAATTTGGTGAAAGATCTAAGTCAGAAATGCAAATTTTTTGGTTCACTCGAATAAATGCTTACATAATTGTACAATTCATGAAACATGCTTGCCTGTTTTCTTGAACTGTGGGAGTTTCTGTAGCCAGACAGATCAAGCAAATAAAACAATAGGGAAAATATTCTATTGAGTCTATTAGTTTTGAACAGCATATTTATTCTTTAAAAGATCAAAATAAATTGGTATAGGATATCAATCTACTGTAAATAGAGTAGTGTGTTAAATGTTGATAACCAGTGTGGATCTTCAGGGGTGGTACAAAGGGGACACAGGAGAAGCTGAAGGTGGTTTCCGGAAAATGAAATGCTATTGTTTTCTTCCTGGATATATTTCTTCAGTTCTATTATTTATAATTAACAAAATTAATTACAATTATTAACATGAATTGTTTATTAATAAAGAATAGGTACATGCATACTCAAACACATTGAGTTCATGCCATGTGATCATTCAATTTACCAATTTACCAGTTAAACTGATTTAGTTAGCAGCTTGTCTATGGCGTGATTTGTTGTTTTTCAGACAATAATAGTTTATTCTTGAAGAATAAGAGCACCTTTGTAACAACAATGCTATGTATTATACTGCTTATACCTAGTTGGCTTATTGCATCTAGATAAGTGTTTAGCAAGATTAATAAATAAAGTAAACCTTAATAAAAGCAGATGAGTGCTAAGTACCTCCTGGTCAATGTGTCTATTTGTCTATCTACTTATGAGGCTTTTATTTATTGCCAGTATCCAATAAATAAATAGATACCATTTCTAAGAAATCTTTAACTAAAAAAGTCCTTCAGGATCCAACTGAAGTTCACTGACAAAGAATGTGAATACAAAAAAAAGGCTCACTTTTGATATTTTTCTCATCGCGCCACATAAGAAAATCCTGCCTGCATAAAAAAAGCAGTACTGTAGTCTATATGCCGCTCCATGCTTAGGGAGCATGACCAATTTTGATTGCAGAGCTACTGTTGGTAGGGGTGTGTTGGACCACTGAAGATAGACCACTGCTTTCACACAGAGCATAGCAGTCATTATCTTAAAGTGACACTAAACTCAGAAGTTAAACCATAAAAAAACATTCAAATATCCCTAACGTTTAACATAAATGTAGTTTATTTGTGTATCACATAGCTGTAGATCCTCAAATCATCTACGACTTCATGCTGACACTGTCCTTCCTTCTGGAGTGTGACTGCTTTTGTTCCTGCTTTTGTTTGGTCTCTGTGTGTGTTGTAAAGTAGCCGCCGCTCCTAGCTCACTCCCGTGATGGGTTACAATCTCATGTTTAGTTTACTAATTGGTATTGAGATTGTAGTCCATCACTGGAGTGTGGAGTGGTGGAGTGGAGTGGTGGCTACTTTGCAACACACACAGGGACCATGGGGAACAGAAGTAGCCACCCTCCAGAAGGAAGGACAGTATCAGCACCAATTCAGAGATGATTTGAGGATCTACAACTGAGCGATACACAAATAAGATACATTTCTGTTAATAGTTAATATACTTGAACGCATTTTGAAGATCTAACATCTGAGTTTAGAGTCACTTTAAGGTGTATTAACAATAAAGGATCTGATGGTGAATAGAGGATGGAAAAGTACTCATCTGTATTGTCCCCATCTCTGGTTGCAAGTACTGGTGTAATTAAATTCTAAAACTTAAGAGCCAGCTTCCATCTACCTCCAATTCTGCATATTAGGTCTGCACAGAGATTTTGCCAATAAGCCATGGCATGCTAAAGCTGGCTGCAGCTTATAGAAGGGAAGGTCACCAGGACTGCAACTAGAAGATTTGGGGTATTTAGGAATTCATTTTTTTTTATTTACTTGCCCCTAGAACCCAAACCATCCATTTTTAAGGAAACTAGATGTTAATTATTTACAAAACTATACCTACTGCATTTTTCTGTAAAAAATAAGTCAAGACAACTGGACTTGCTGTATTTTTCTTGAAGACGTTTCACTGGTCATCCAACCAGCTTTCTCAATTCAGAATGACTTGTACAAAAATTATCTGGGAACAAATATGGTGAATGTTGCTCCAATTGCCATATTTATTGCCAGAGAATTTTTGTACAAGCCATTCTGAATTGAGAAATCTGGTTGGATGACCATTGAAACGTCTTCAAGAAAAATACAGCAAGTCCAGTTGTCTTGACTTATTTTTACAGATATACCATGACCTGGATGAATGAGAACCTTCACAGACCTACTGGATTTTGTTTTGAACTCACCGAGCTGTATAAGGTGATCATTTGCAGTACAACATTATCTTTTTAGATTGTTTTTCACTCACCTACATCATAATCATTATGTGTGACCACATAAATATCATGTCCTCTGCGTGCTTCTTCCTCTAGTTCTTGCTTGTCCTTAGAAGGATAAATTAGTACCCCTGCCGAAAAACCTAAATTTAAAACAAGGAAATAATGTAATTAACTTAAAATGTTTTAAATATTTAAACGGCATAATTGTTGATTTCAAAATACAATAATATATAACAATAACCAAGTAATAATATCCAACCTCTTTTATTCTTCTTCCCAAATATCATTTCATTAACATTCATGGTGGGAGGAAACATGATGGTTTGGTCATGTGATCTTCCAAGTGGTGTTCGCTTATGACTAGAATATATTGACTCTCTCTTCTCCATTAATTTTTGCTGGAACAATGTTTTTGATTGTCTATTTATTAATGAACCAGCCTGCATGAAGAAAGGGGTGGGGGTGAATGACATATACATAAATACATACAAAAATACATGTTTTAGACAAAGACTAACTACACAAATATAGGTGATAAAACATAACTTCTATTATACATGATGAATGCTGTAGATTCAAGATAAAAAAATAACTGACAATGTTCAATTAAAATAACTTACACTAAGCAATAGGTATGAAAACAGTCAATAAAAACTAAAAAAAAAAAAAAAAGTCCAGTTTATTGTTTTTATTATTACCCATATTTCCATATCACTGATATGTTCATGCTATGAAGTACATGCTTTGCGGACGCTGGATTCGGAGCCATGTTTGACCGGCCGGTAGGCCTACTCCATGTGACACCACACTCTATCAGGAAGTACATGCTTTGCGGACGCTGGATTTGATCGGCCAGTCTTTGCTGTTTTAACTGTGAGTTTTCTATGTTTTTTTTTTAAATAAACGTGTATACTTGCCACACCATGAGGAGTTTTCTTTTATGATCCCAAAAATGCTCCAGTGACGGGATACTGCCGGATAGAATACCTTGAATGTGGACATATAGATTCACCTACACTGCTTAATTTCCACAAAAGTTGGGTGAGTGCGCACCCCAGAGGGGGATTCGTGGACACTTGCACAGCGGTTTTGGAATACTTCTGTTTGGGCTTCAATTTTATTATTCTACTTTGGACTTTATGCACTATTATCACAATTTAATTTAATTTTGATTATTGAACATGATCTGATTATGTTTTTTACAGCTGACACACAGCTACACAGTGGATTTTTATTCATGATGCACTTATCTGTTTCATCTTAGCAATTAAGGGTATTGTTACGTGGTGACACTGAGATCACTTAACATTGATTGCAGTTTGCCCACATATTTTTTGTTTATTTGTAAAAAAAAAATTTTTTTTTACATATTTAAATATCCCTAAAAAAAGGGATTACACTTAATTTACTGGAGAGATTTAGCACAATTAATATACGTGTTGCACATTAAGCACTTTTAGCGCTGCACACTCATTATTTTATTGTTTTGACCTTAAAGTCTATAGTGCAGCAGCTCTCACACCCAATCCTTCCACAAGCGCAGATTTCACATTTTCTATACATTATCAAAGCTTACCTGAACAAACTAAAGAGATAAGCTGATTGGTTACTATGGGCACCTGCTCCAGATTCTGTCTGCTCCAGTTTTGATAACCCCCCATTGTATATTTGTGCCCTGGCAAGACAACCTACCAATGTTAAGGGCATGTGGCCTGGTGTGGTCCTGTCAGGCTGCATGCCTGTATAGGAATCTGGTATGGATTGTGGGAGGGGACCCCACACAATTTTTTGTCTTTTTATTTGCCTAGGGTCCCCCTCCAAATTCATACAAGACCCTTATCAAGGAGAAGGGTGTTGCATGGATTTTGAGGGGGCCCCATGCCGTTTTTAAAACAAGCAGGACAGGAAATATCATTAAGTGGCAAATGTTTTTCTTTCTTTCTATATTTCACTTTTGCTGGAGTACAAACTGCAGGTGCCCCACTTCACATGCAGATTTAAGGCATCTCTCAAGCATGATGTTATTTACATGCATGGTATATTTTTAATGTTGCCATTTAAATCCTAATGAAAGAGCTGCTCCTGTGGGGTTTTTTTGTGGGGGGCAGGGACAGTGCCCAGCTAACTAATCACAGATACTTGAACATTCTGCAGCAATCTGTGATCCAAAGTTTAAAAAGTTTCCCGTTTAAGCAACCAAACAAGACCTGCTCTTGTGAGCAGATGAGATGAATGCTTGGAAGTACACAGTAATGACCATGGGGAGTACTCAGCTGAAGTGAATTTTCATGCATATAGTCTTGAATGAGACATTTGCTATTAGTATATCAGAGTAAGATATTCCTGCAGCATTGCCTTAGGTTAGTGTCCCAGCTTTAAAAGCTTTATTTAACAGGCCCTAGATGTTTTCTTCAAAGCAGGGGATGTACTTTCTCTGAAAATACATTAGGGTTATGTTATGTTACCAGGTTAGATGTAAACAGTACTTAGCAATGGAAAATCTGAGTAAGAAAAAGAAATGATTCCTTTCACTGTGCGCAGATCAGTGCATGATCATAGGAAACTTTCTAAATGCAGACACCTTTTCTATTCAGGTATATGTCATATGGAATACTACATTTATTTGTGATTTGATATCTCAACTTAAATGAATTCATGAGTGTTAAATCAAGATGCAAATTGCCATTACAAATATCAAATCAAATTACTAGCATTTAAAAATAAGGTAAATGTTTGACTTCAGGCCCACTTCAAGAGATTGTAGATTACAGATAAACATGTATACAGAATGTACAGTTACTTACATTAAGAGATTGATGGGTACTAACACCATGCACTATGTCATTCTCCACATTAGGATCATTTGCTTTGCCATAGAATACAGTCCGAGCGCCAGGATTGGAGCGTCTGGTGTTAAGAAACTTCTGGACGACAGGGGGGGTTGAAGGCTGTAACAGCACATAAAATAAAAAAATTAACACTATACCATGTGATAATATACTATACCGGGGTAGGCAAGTTAGAAGATAAAGACCTTTGGTTGCTATGACTGAACACTGTACTTTCTTGTCTACAGTTTTCATAAATAAGCCCCAAAGCTGTCTTTTGTGTTTTACTTTTACAGCAAATAGCAAAATAATTACACAGTGATAAATACAAAATGTCATATGGTGTTCTTGGGACATGTAGAGAATAGACATCACGCTTGGATAATAACATGATTATGCCATGTTAAATTGTTGTGTTTATCTGCTCTCCAGGATAGGGAAGAGGATTATGTACAGTACTATGCATAAACTGTCACATTCAGATTATTGCTGGCTGTAGCTGCTTATCTTCCTATGTAAATTGGTGATTTTGTAGCTGGAATTAAGAGAACAACATTTACTCAGATGTTGCGTTGTTGACTTGCCTGGCATGAGCAATGAGCAAGAAAAAGAGGGAGTGAGAGTCTTGTCACTAGACTATCTGTCTGGATCAATATGGTTGACTGCTTTACACACGGTGCGTGCTAACTAGAGAATTTTTTTCTTCTGTTAAAAAGTTGTATTGTTGTATTTTTGTATGAAAATGATATACAGGGGTGCCCGCAAAAACACAAAATGTATATATTTTTGACCCTTAAAGTGGACCTTTACACCCTCTCACTAAAAATCACATTAGCATACAGCTCTGCATGCTGATATTAAATCACCTTATATTCATTAGCTAAACAAACATATTTTTATTTTACAATTTCTTTTTTTCCACTTCCTGGTCCACTTTGGCACAAATGATGCAATCGTGCCCAAGCATTGCATCCTGGGAAGGTTACATCGACAGAGCATTACTGGGAAATCTCATCTGCAATCTCATGCAATCTCAGGGAAAGGCATTTTCCTCCGCTAAGATGATGTTCTAGTCACATGTGCAAGAGTTCCAGGAAGTAAAGGGAGATCTAGTAACCTTCCCTTGGTTAACCATTTGAAGACCAGGGTGGTAAATCCCCTTCCTGTCCATTTTTCAGTACTCAGCATGCGGTACTTTGACTGACATTCAGCAATGCAACGCTGTACTGAAATGAATTTTACACCATTTTTTGGATGCTTGCCCTTTTGAATTTCCCGCCAGCTCAGGCCACCACTGTGACGCCCAAAAACAAAACTGAAAGCCGAATGCCGGCATCGGCCCCAACGAACACAGCAGTGGACACCGCAGGCTCGCAGGGACAAGGTAAGTGACACTTTTGCACAATCCCGAGTGTGGCTCGGGGTTACCGCTCTTGGTACTGAAAATTAACCCCGAGCCCCACTCGGGAATACCGCCAGGGAGGTTAATCACCACTGGGTTTTTTTTTTATTTTTTAGTATATTAAGGAAAAATGACCAAACATTTAAAAAAAAAATGTTTCCCCTAGGATTTATACATCACCAGCTTTAACTTTGTAACGTTAATGAAAAAAAACATGTTGTTGACCAATATAAAATGTAGCCATCTAGAGGTTCCCACATTCACCTGCAGCAGCTTTCAGTGTCCCTACTTTTCCCCGAACACCAGGCGGTCCTGATCGGGCAAAGCTTTGACGTTTCCTGGGAGTGTCAGATCTTGCCCACTTCCTCGGACCTCCATACATTACTACTGAACTACCATTATGATTGGCTGTCTCACTGACCACAAGGAATATGCAGAGGAGCTGAAAACTGCTGCAGGCATGTTTCTAAACTCTATACCAGTAAACTACTTGTTTACAGACTACAACTCTAAAAATGATGATGTCTGCATCGGTAGTGCCTTCAGAGTGTGGAAGGCCATTAATTTTTTCTTGTGCTACACCAGATTCTAAAGTGGTCACCGAAATATTTAAACATTTTTATTGTATTTACAAGAAAAAAACTATTTGCAGTTGTTACATTAAATTAATTTAAAGTCATATCCTGCCTTGTTTCATATTGGTAGGAAATGCAATATACTTTTATATTATTGACCTGCCAAAGATTTATTTTTTTTTTAAATGGAAAGTAACTTGACTGTCCTTAAGAAATGTAATCTTTTACATCAGGGAAGTCCACCTTAAAAAAAAAAAAAATGCATACATCTTCATAAAAGAAAAATGTGCATTTATTATTTTTTTCCATTGGAGCCAGTAAAGCTCTATCTCCCTGTCCCTGTCCCTTTCATTCCGTAACAGGGACAGGAGGACAAATTAATAGACGTCACAGCACTTGTATTTCATTGAGAACTAAAAGTCCCTCTGGCACAGTGGCTGATGGAACTTGTAGTTCTCCATAGAATAGAGACACCCACAGACCATGTTTCATGTTAAACCATAAATATGTAAACATGGTAAGAAAGGAAAACTTAGGGGGTTATTCACAAAGCTGCGTAGGCAGCCGAGTGAATAACCCAGCCGAAATGAAGTGAGCTGAACGCTGTTCGGCTATTCACTTCAGCCTTGTACTTGGCTGATTTCAACTGTACATCGGCTGAACATCGGGTGTACATTGGGTGCAGAAGGAGCTGAACATCAGCTGTACATCGAGTGCAGAAGGAGTTCGATCGGCTGAGCCGAGGGCTCCGGCAACTCACTTGCTGCCGGTCACCCCTATTCTCATAGGGGCCGAGCGGCAGTAAGTGAATAGCCGGATGCCACTCGACTATTCTGTTCGGTGCCTCCGAGATACCGAGCACAATAGAAAATAAGTGAAATTAATAGAAAGAAAAAAAGTTGAAAAATGATTTTAAAAATGTAAGAAAATAGGAAAATTAAAAAAATAAAATAGTTTAAAGAAAATTCAAAATTATTGTTTTTGAAATGCCAGAACAAGAAAAACAATTGGGCAGAGCTAGCAGTGACAGCTAGCTCCGCCCAACTGTTTCCTATTGGCCAGCACCTGCCAGAGTCTTCTAGCAGGTCCCCGCCAATGAATAACAACTGGGCGGAGCCGGCCCTGATGCCCAGTTGTTATTGTTTAAAAACAGATCAGCGTCCCCAGGTCATTTGGGGATGCTGATCTCTCATTACAACAGCTGTCATTTGCATGGGGAAAGGTCGGCTCCGGCTGCTGTATGGGCTATTGTGATTAGCCCGTACAGCAGCCCTTCGGTTGGACTGAACCGAACTGCAGAGGTGGCCGAAACGAGCCGAAGGAGCAGTCGAGGCTACGGCTGGTTCCCTCGGCTCTTTAGTGAATTAACGTATTAGTCTTTAACCTTTGCCACTAGTATTTGTATGTATTGTGCTCCATAATGACTGTAAAGTATCCATTTTAATCAAGTAAATAAAATAAATAAAAATAAAATTTTGCTTGTAGCCCATCTTTAATTATTTCTGGAAGGCTCAGTTTAAAAATGTGTCAGTTTGCATATGGTAGGAAGGATGTGCACCAGGGGGAGTTATTGTTTAATCATGTGATACAAATGAGGTGTGGCAGTTCATGTGTTTTTATTCCTTACCCTTGGGTAGATCTCAGTCAGACAGCCTGCTGCTCTTTCTCCAATAGGAAATAGCTTTCCAGCCTGCAACATAAATCATTTATAATACAAATTAAAAAAATATTCAATTGAATTTTTTGGGTTTCTGGAATCTTATGTTCAGTGCAGTACAAACTGTTATCAACTTGTGTTTAACTTTTGGAGGGGCTAACATTTTTTGAACTTCAGCACCCAACCTCACCTACCTCAGTCTGCATTTAATGTGAGTAGAACCAAGCTTTTTGATGCCACTCATATACACATTCAAACAAATGCCAGAAAGTTCAGTTATACTTGCTTCAGACAGATACTGAAGCAGGCTGGGGTTAGCCATTGTGCGGATGCCTGTAATTAGCCCTTAATGTGAAGGTTTTATTTACAAAAGAGACAGCAGGGCGCCCAACCTAGTGCAGATAATCCTTTTAATTTTAAAAGACAAAAAAACAGGAGTGCAATGGTACTCACAATGGTAGATCAGCGTATATGGATGATTTCAGAGGAACAGCAGTTACAAGACTGCAATCAGCCTGTGTGCCACTGGATTGTGGCGTTGTTGACGCGTTTCCGGGGTCACGCCCCCTTCTTCAGAACGTCAAGGTTTTATTTATTTAAAGGGTAACTCCACTAAAAACATATGCAGAATATACATTGTCAGGCCAAAAAAAAAGTCACACACTCTAATATTTTGTTGGACAACCTTTAGCTTTAAATTCCGGCACACATTCGCTGTTGCATCGTTTCGATAAGCTTATGCAATGTCACATCATATTTATATCCAGAGTAGCATTAACTGTTCACCAAGATCTTGTAGTGATGATGGGAGAGTCAGGACCACTGTGTAAAGTCTTCTTCAGCACATCCCAAACATTCACAGTGGGACTCTGGACTGTGGTGGCTAATCCATGTGTGAAAATGTGTTTAATGCTCCCCAGACCACTCTTTTACAATTTAAGCCCAATCAATCCTGACATTCTTATCTTGCAATATAATATGACTGTGCCATCAGGGAAGAAAAAATCCATTGATGGAAAAACCTGGTCATTCAGTATATTCAGGTAGGCAGCTGACCTAATTGTTTGGGGGACACAACATGGCTAACCAACTGAAGCCACACCAGATCACAACATCGCGCAAAATCCAGGTAGTGACTTTTTTTCCCCGCCAGGCAGTATATAATTGCTGCACAAGACGTTTTCTAATGTTGCATAAACAAAATTAGATATCTATTTAAATCGGTGAATGCTGAGAATTACCTAAAACTGGCAAAGCACAGTAGAGCCTTTTTAAAGCAGAAAGTATCTGCGTGTCTAACGTTCATCGCAATGCAAAAATAAATACGGGTTTTACTTCTTGCAACCGAGCCAGCTGTATACCTCCCCCTACTTCACCATAACCTGTCTGGTTATATTGTCTTGTCAATCCCCAAGCCCTGTTCCCCAGAAGCCATTTGTTTTGTATGCACTGCACTTTTACAGTATACAGTTTGGAATAAAAAAAATCTCTATATTATTTGATATATGTTATGAACTTGGTGGCCCAATGGCAAAATATAGCTCTGCTGTGCTTCACATTGATTCAATGAAGGGATTTTTTGTTCCTTTCAGCCCACCTCACCATAAACCGTTTAGTATATAATTAAACATGGCTTCCTTGTAAATGGGCATTCTGTGCTCTGTTGGTTTACAACACTCTTCCAGAAATGACATATTCTGATTATGTACTTGGCTCACTACTGTTCCCAGCTGTTCGTCTTTTATTACAACACTAGGACTGATCGTGTGACTAAAGCAGGAAGATCATGCCACCTGAGACACAGGGAGTAGAAATGGAAAGTGGAAGTGGAACCCCCCATGAGAATTTCAATATAAACTGCAGCAGGTAGGATTACACAATAACATTGTTAAAATATGTGCAATTTGGGTGGTTTTCTTTTATAGAATTTAAGGATGTTCAGATACCAAGTATCCTACTTAGTACAAGCACAGATACTTTTCCAGCTCCATTAAAAGACTAGACTAGAGAAAGACTCAAAAGTTAGGAGGCAGTTGTCATTTTTAAAGGAGCATTGGCTACGGGGCTACTGGGATTTTTGCATTCCTGTTTTAATGTATGATTTGAGATATATATATATATATCTTGTGATGAGAGAGCATGGGCCAGCTTCCTGGCCAATCAGGAAACCGGGCAGCGTGTGATGACACGCTGCCCGGCTTCCTGATTGGTTGGAAAGCTGGCCAATCAGGAAGCCGGGCGCCATCTAATGATGCAGCGCCCAGCTTTCTGGTTGGCCGGGAAGCCAGCTTCATGCGCGGCTTCCATGATTGGCCGGTAAGCCACTCAGTTATTACACGCCGCCTGGCTTTGTGAATGGGACTTCCGGTACTCGGTATTTGGTATCGGCAGGATACAGGGGAAAAAAATATCGGTACTCGTACTCAGTACCGAAATACTGGTATCGGTGCATCCCTAATGTATGTGTATATATATATATATATCATAGACATTGTATTTGCACATAGCCTAGCTACTTCTGGTTGTCCCTTACAGCCCCGTCTTATTATTTTCATCTATTTTGTTCTTGAACAATGTTAAGAAAAATGTACTCTACATTTATAGCATACCCGCAATTTTCACTCGCCAATTGCGAGGGGGCGAGTGGAAATTTTGAGGCCTGTATTACACCGATACAGGTTTTTTGGTATCGAGTACGAGTATTGATACTTTTCTGTCGTACTTGCCGATACCGCGTACTGATACCGGTGCTCACAGGTGCTCAAAGTACTTATTTTACTCACTGAATTGTAACCTAATTTATAACATTTGTATCATGTGTTTTTTCTGGATTTTTGGTTGATATTCTGTCTCTATCATTTAAAATACACCTATGATAAAAATTATAGACCTTTCATTTCTTTGCAAGTGGGCAACCTTACAAAATCTGCAGGGGATCAAATAATTATTTTCGACACTGTATGTGTGAATCTTCAGTGCAGCACATTTTAAGACATTTGCTCATCTCTAATTAAAAGGAAATTTTAACACTGTTATCTGACAAAGATTGAACAGGAGGAAACAAGGCTGATAAATGTCAAACCATTACTGGTCACTCTCTCAGTTACATCTTAACGGATTAATCATTTATACTTTGTTACTATTTCCAGTTGTATGTGCCTGAGGCGTGCAGTGCAGCCTGAACCACCTCTTAAATCTAACTATTGTACAGTATCTGTAACAGGCAGGTATCTTTTAAAAATCTTTACATTTAAAAGATGCTCATCACCTTTTAAGTTGCATTAGTGAAATAAATGAAGTTTGCACGATATTCGAATTATTCGAGTTTCACCTGTATATATTACACAGTATTACACAGTATTTAGATACTCTTGCCTTTTATAAGGTTCATTTTATTCTTTCATGAAAAAGAAAAATGCTTCCCGTTTGAGTTAATTAAGCTGAATACAAATAATAATAATATATTGTAAGTTAAATACACATGAATACAATTGGGTTGATTTCCGTTTTTGATTGTTTTATACTGAAGTCTTGGTCGTGTGAGCAACTAACAACAAAAAATTCACCAACCAAATGTATGTTCCAAATCTGTTGGCAAGTTATCACATACCTTTTTTGGGGGTTTGCCCCAACAGTAGACCTTTCTGACAAACCCTCTTCCCCATCACCACTAAACCAACTAACATACTGTACAGCCTCCGGTTAATCCTACCTACTTCCTCCTACACTTGATTGACATGAACCCAACTGAACACAAAAGTGATCCTTACTTATAAATCTGATCACTGCAGCTAGAATGATGATCCCCAAACTCTGGAAACAATCATACCTCCTCACTATACAAGATTGGTGTAGAGCTGAATATACTATGTGACATGGAAGACCTAAGACCTAAGTCAATCTATGTCCAAGATGAAAAAATCAGACTGACCTGGTTCCCTGGGCCATTAGTTAGATAGACCAATGCAATCATCTCATAACCAATATGAGTAACACCAAGGCCCTGCACATTTTAATAACCTGCTCCTCACTTTCTCAGCATGATGATAGCGCAGAACAGCATACCCTCTTTCTCTCACTACTTATCTGAGACAGACAAGAGAATCTTTCTCTTTTTGCACAAACATCATGATCTCCTCATATTTCCTTTAAATAATGTTCTCACATTGCCTTTGAAATATCACTGTCGATAATGTCTATTGCACCCTAGCTTCATACAGTATATTGTCTGTTACTTTTGTCATGATTAAATGAACAATCCTTAATGAGACTTTGAAATAAAAAAAGAAAAAAAATCAGCTTTTGGTAGATGTTGGAAAGTAACCATCTAAAAATGTCTCATATCTCGGAGCAAGACCTATATTTTTACTTGGCCTTTGAAGGCAATCTAATATCTATAAGAGTGAATGCAAATCTTTCAGGCAATGCTTACCACCTTCT